TGTTATTATCTACTCGGGCTGTGAGTTGATGTTTATATATATATATACCTCGCCGGGTGTTACGTTAGCCGGCTGAGTACCGTTAGGGTCGTGGGCGAAGGAGTCGTCCCCAGTCGGTGATGTATTTAACCAAGTAAGGTTATATCTAAATCTATATACTTCTGGAAGCGAAGACTCGCTCGGGGTCCGGGTGGCGTAACTGGCAAGCGCACCGCACGGCAAGCGGAGGTTGCGGGTTCAAGCCCCGCCGCCCCGGGCCAGTTCTTTTATTCCAGAATGTTCTAAATTTATTTATTTAATTATTAATTTAATTAAGAGATGGCACCTAACGCCTACCTCTAATGTCAAATTACTTAGTTCCAATCATTTAAAATAGCCATATTATAGCCCGATAAATTAGGTGATCGTTTGGTGTAATTATTTGTAATAAAAAATTTTATAATTTATAATAATACACATAATGAGTAGTTAATATCTGTGGATTAATTTATTTTTTCTAATAAAAATAATAATTTATTATCATTAGCTGTTGATCCTGTGGTTCAAGGGAAGACAAAAGCAGAACAATTTTACAGAGGTGATACTCAGGGTAAAAAGGTATGAAAACAAATAAACTATTTTTAATTTACACATTTTCTATTAATTATGTTATTTAACATTCAGTTTAATTTGTTTTTCAGATATTAAAGATGATGAAAATATTCATAATTTAAACACTTATCAACTGTATCATCAGAAGGATCTTAATTTTGAGAACTTTCTGATGATATGATAAAGCATTATCTTTTATTTAATCTCATGATCTGCAAATTAATTTATCTAATATCTATTATAATTTAAACATCATTAGCAATAGATTAAAATTTTTCTATCTTTTTGAATTAAAAAAATAGTATAAATAGTATAAAATATTTCATTATTAAAAATCAAATAATATATTATTATTTATTAGTTTTAACAGCACAGTTAAAATGCTGTTTAGGTTAGTCTGCTTAATTACTGATTGACATAAAATTCATTTTTCTAAATGCAAAGATAGAAGAATGTTCTTATCATATTTCACTTTTATTTTCAGTCTTGATAAATGGTAAACAAACTTTCAGCTTTAATGGACACCTTCTCACCTAGGTGTCCATTAGTCTATTAATTTAAAATCAAGGTTTTATGTAGTGAAAGGATTTTAATAGACTAATTCATGCAAGAAAGTATCCATTAAAGCCAAAATTCCATTTGTGTAATAAAGTAGGTTTTCCAAATGCATGCTTTAAAAAATTAACAAATTAGTTTGTTTTTTTACTTATGTTGATACATTCATATCCAAATATTTCATTATCTTGTCTTAAGAATTAAAATAGACAAATTGTCAAAATGTATTGTTTTTTAAGCATATCTTCCACACTTGTTAAAAAATCCAATCAATAACAAGTAGAAAAATTTATTTTAAATATTTTTAGCAAAATCATTTTTAAGATGCTCTCTAGAATCATAATCATGACTTAAATATGTTGTCTGATGAAGACAATTGTCAAAAACATAAAGAATGAATTTATCTTGGTAGTGCTTTTAATGAGTGGATGCTAATTTGCATACTTGCATAATTCGCATTCTTGTTATATGAAACATCTTTAACATAGTTTATAATGTATTATGTTTAACTTTTAGTTTAGTTAACCAATTTTTTTTCCATCAAATGTTCTTTTGTTTGTTACTAAAATTAATATATATATCTTATTTTATTACTAGATAATACATAGATAAAATTTAATTTTTTTGAATTACTTAATTAAAAATTTTAAAATTATTTTTCAAATTTTGAAAGTGTAAATTTAAAATTTGTAAAAAAAATATATATATANTCCAACACTAACCGAATTATCGTAACAATCACTTGATCTAATTTTTATGAATCCTTGAGTCGACAAAAGCTAATTTTATTTCGAATGGATTGCTGACCTGAAATTTAAGTCTAGACCAAAAATTCAATCTTACAAAAACATTGAAAATAAACTAATGTTTCTTGATTTATAGAATGTCGTAAATTACTTTTATATTAGCATTTATAAGCATTTTTATTTTATGTTTTTCTTATATATAATTGAGTACATAATTAAAACTTCATAATTTTATAATATAGCAATAAAATAGTTAGATTTTCAAGAGAAATCTAAAACTTTTCCTTTGAAATAATACGTTATTGCAATGTTTAAATATTCTGTAAATAGATACTAATCTATTATTCAGTATTTTAAAATTTTATTGGGAAATTAAAGCTTCTTTTTTTTTTTATAAAATGAGCAATAAATTTATAAAATAGATGTATTTTTAGTACTTAATTAAGTTTAATATTTTTTATATTATTATTATTATTATTATTATTATCATTACTATTTTTTTTTAAAATAATTTTGACTAATTTTAGATTATTTAATATATTTCTTAGTAGAATGAAGTTAAAAGAGAAATTTCTTTGTATAAAATACCAACTTTTAACAATTTGGTAATACTTTTATCAGAAAAATATTACTGTTATGTTAAAACGAAAAAAATATGATTGTTATAAATTATAGAAAACATTTCAAAGTAAAAATTTCACTGTTTGTTTATTTTGAAATGTTTTATTTTATTAAGTCTTCATGTCAATATTGGTATTGTTTGCTATTTGAATATTTTACAATTTTATTTTAGGTAATGAGCATATTACTTCATGGTGATGCTGCTTTTGCTGGTCAAGGAATTGTATATGAGACATTCCATCTAAGTGATTTACCCGATTATTCAACTCATGGAACTATACACATTGTAGTAAACAATCAGGTAATATTTACTTTTGAATTAAAAAAATATTTGAAATGTTTTATTGGAAATCTTTGACACACACAACTTTAAATAGATTGGTTTTACAACTGATCCTCGAGTAGCAAGATCATCTCCATACTGTACAGATGTGGCAAGAGTGGTCAATGCTCCAATTTTTCATGTTAATGCTGATGATCCCGAAGCAGTAGTTCATGTCTGTAATGTTGCTGCAGAATGGAGAGCTAAATTTGGAAAAGACTGTGTGATTGATTTGGTAATTAATATTTCAGTTGTTTTATTGAAATAATTAGTTGGTAGGTTGTTTTTAATTTTTTTAATAATTAAGTTAAGGAAACCAAAAATATTCTAGAGAATATTTTCAGACTAATTTTATCCTGCATCAGTTCAAGTTGAATTTAGATAAAGGTGGAAAAAATATTTATAAGTTATTAGTTAATGAAAATGATATTGAAGCATATTTTAATGGTAATTTTAAGAACTACCTTAAATATAAATTCTTTTAATTAAATATTAAGCTTTAATTAATTAAATTTTTGAAAGTATTTTATATAGATACATAAAATAATTATATATAAAACAAAAATAATGGATTAAGAGCAGAAGTTAAAGCAAAAATAAATACATGCATTACATGTATTTTTTTGCTTTAACTGCTGTTCTTAATCCATTATGTTTCAACATATTTCTAACTGTTTAATCACTAATATTTAATTCATGATATTCTTCTAAGTCTTTTTTAACATCAACTGCAGTTTCACTTTTTCCACTTGTTACTCTTCTTACAATATTTCACTCTTGGACTGTATCTGGAGCTCTTAGTCAACCAAGTAATAGATTTTTGGCATTGGGTACCTTCTCTTGACTTATATACTTCCTGCACAAACACCAACTTTTTTTGACTGATAATCCTTGTTTAATGAGAATAATATCTTGTTTCTGTTGCACAGAAAATGGTCTCAGTTAATTTTAGTTGGAAACAATTATTATGCTTTAAAATGAAAACAGTTTTGATGAAATAAACATTTTTAGTTTTTTTTTTACCTTTTGAAAATTATATTGTTGAACAACAAAGAAAATGTTCAAATCCCTGATTGTCAAAATCCTAATACAGTGGTGCCTCATATAACGGATGCTGCAAACAATGGACTTTCTGTTTGGCCGTTATGTGACTCAAGCAATGGACTGGCTGTGAACAACGGACTTTCTGTACAGCAGTTACGTGAGGTGAACTACGGTCTTTCTGTGAACAAGTGCAAATGATGTTTCCACTCTTTTGCTGTTGCCAATGACAATCTGCTATTTTTTATAATATGTTAGTATTATTAGTATATCTGAAGTACAGAGCTCCCATTGGGATTCGGCTTGCTCCCTTGTTTATTACGTACATCACCTCAGTGCAGGGTATTTACATTTATTCCAAGTGTTGTGCAAATCATGGCTTTTAAAAAAACAGAAAGGTGATTTCAATTGAAACAAAGCAAGACATCATCAGAAGGAGTGAAAGTTGACAAAAACTTCCTTGTCAAATGGGGATAGGTTCAGGAGTTTACCAACATTCATTATCCAAACAGAGCTGAGGCCAACAGGATCAATGATCCCTACAATGACACCCTTGCCCATCATTTCCAACAGGTGTTGAAGAAGAGAGAGAAACAGACTACTTTGGACATGATTTTCAAGAATCAAGCTGCCAAAAAACAAAGAATGGAACAAGAGGAGATGACCCTGCAAGCTTCAGTAGCCTCTCCTGAACCTCACTCCGATTAAAAAATGATAAAAAGAGACCCCGCTGCAATGTGTAAAAAGTCTGTATCTGTATGAATGTGTAAAGAAAGTGTTCCTCCACTTCCTCCTCACAGCATCTAACTACCTGGCATAATTGGTGACTGCTCCATTTTCATTTTTTTTTATGGTATAGTATGGTTATTTTATGCTGCGGAACAAATTATATGTTTTAATATGTATTTCTATGGGAAAATGCGTTTTGTATAACGGACTTTTCACTTAAAGGACATGCACCTGGGATGGATTAAGTACGCTATACAAGGCACCACTGTATTTTGTGCTAAGCACAAGTGATTATTTAATGCTTCCACCTGTGAAAATAATGCTTAGAGTATTCATATTTAAATGCATATTTGGATTTTATAGTTTAAAAAGTAAAAGACCAAAATTATGTGAAAATTTTTTTGAGTCACTGTATAATGAAATGTTTTATAAAAACATCAGAAATAATCATTATAAATATTTTATTTCTCTAAAATATTAATTAACTGTAGTTTACAAAAAATGATTAGAAGGAAGTTAAAATAAAAATAGACTTTCCATAATCTATTTAATTTTTCTTGTTTAGATTGTTGTCATTTTTATTTTATTAAATAATTTTTTCCCCTACATTAATCCATTTGGAATAAAAGTTTATGAATCCCACGAAGAAAGGTGATAATGTTTTTCTTTGTTTTAAAGATCATAAATTCTTCCAGTACTGAGATGAACATTTTTTTGTAGAATATTAAAAAGTATTTTTGGTATTTATTATGAATATAATTTTTTTGTTGTGTTAGTCCTTTTTTTTTAAATATTCTATTAGGAATTTAACAAATTCTTTTTATTGGAAAGAGCTACATTTTATTGTAAATTATTTCAAAGAAAAAACTATAAGTACAGTCATTCAGTTGTAAGGAGCATTAGGGAAACAACAAGATTTCCTTATTATAACCATTACTCATTACATCTGTGAAGAGTAGTGTCATAACTAGGAGAGAATGTGTGGCTGCTTCAGGCACAAACATGGGTGGCAAAATTTGTAGCTATGCCACTGATAATTAGTGAAATCTATCTTTTAATTTTTAATTCTAATTAAGTTGATTCAAAAATTATACAGTATCTTGCCAAATTATTAGACCCATGCAAAAAATTGATAATTTGTTAGTTTTTGATGTATTAATTCAATAAAGATGCAATTGCTGATAGGATTATTTAAAATATTAATGTTTTATTAGGTCTTATGAAATAAAAAGTAAGTTTTTTTCATATAAAAATTTGAATATAAAAGAATTTAAAAAATGAAAAATGAAAATTATTATTTTGAATGACCATCTTCGACAATTAGTAGTGCTTCTATATCACAAAAAATACTCTATATATATCTTTTTATTTTTGTTCTCATAAATGAGGCTATATTGCTACACTTTACTAAGAACCTCTAACTTCTCTTTTTATAATAGAAAGCTAATTTTTTTACATATACAGGGTTGCCATATAAAAAAATTTATTAAAAGTGTTTTGGATATAATAGAGCAGGGATGGGCAACCTTTTTCTATGTAAAGGCTGCATTTCAAAACTTTTGAACTGATGCGGGTCACATACAAGAGAAAAGAGGGTGGAAATGTCAGTAAATTACAATTCTTTATTCATATATAATTATAAATTAGCATAGGTATACTTAATTTAGCTTCCGAAACTGATGTAAACAGAATATATTGGAAATATTTAGTCAAATTTTAGTCACTGCTAGCTTTAAATTAGTTTTGATGTGTCTGTTAGTTGGTTTTTTGTTTTAATTTTTATTAAATTCATTGCGGAAAAACTATTCACGTACATGAGTTGTAGAAAATAACATTTGAATTTTTGCCGCATACTTCCTTAATTTTTTGATAATGTCTATACTGTTGAAGATGACAGAAAACTTTCTACAAACTTTCATGCTACAAGTTAGCATCATGCTCTAACTCACAAATAATTTCTACTTCTTTGTAAACTGAGACATTTTCTATTCTTTATAGACATCTTTCTCATATAACTTTCTCATTTCTAACTAGATCATATGGTAATTTTACAATTGTAGTGATGATTAGGTAAATTGGCAGAATAGGGCCAGAAGTTAGTCAAGAAAGAGGGCAGATGGTCTGCAAAAAGAAAGTTAAGTGATAGACCTGTAACCAATGTAGGTCATAAAACTAATTATCCAGCAGTCATAAAACTAAGTAACCCTTTTGGTTTTATCTATTCTAAGGGTGCGACTATGCAGATGCGAATTTAGAGCGAGCGAGAGGTTGCGAGCGATTTAGTTTTTGCAAAGGAAACCATGCACAAACGAGAAGTGAGAAATAACGCTAGCGAGAGCAAATTTCTGGTTCTCGCACATATCCGACAGGTTTTGACATTTATTGCGTCTCACCTCTTCTCGCTACATATTCTCGCTCTCTCGGAAAATTCGCTCTCTCACATCTGCATAGTTGCACCCTAAGAATTCAGTATCTCATTTCTTACTTTTGAACTATTTGAACAATTAAGAATGTTTGTGTTTGCATAGCTATCAAAAATTTGCTTGGTATATTTGTGAATTAACTTCATTATAACTGTGAGAAAATGTATGGAAATATGCATAAATTAAAATTGTTATGGTGTTTTTTTTTTGTTATAACTGTGATTTCATTATATCCATGTTCATTATAACTGAGTTCAACTGTATTAAATTTTATTTGTAATTTAATTAAATGGAAAAGTATTGGAGATTAAGTATAATATTAATTTAGTTCANTTAGTAACACTATTGTTCAGTTTGGAGTATAAAAAATCTTTTCAATCTGACAAATTTCATCTGTTGGATATTGAAACATTAATTTATGCAATAATTAATTTTAAAGTATTTATTAAAAAAGTAAACAGTAAAAAGTATAAAATTATAATTAATTAATTTTAGAAATAAATATGCTTCTCATAAAATTTTTCATTAATTATTAGGATGACATGGTGTGCTTACAATGCACTGGTACAGGAGAACGAGTATGTTTAGGTGCAGAGGGTTTTGGAAACCGCAATTGCTATCTTGAAAACATTGCAGATAAGGTAAAGTTTCATTTTTTAAAATATAAAAATGTAAAATTGAATTTTAATTTAAAATATCTGACTTGTTTGTTTTCTTGTAATATGTTATTAATGATACAATGTTTATCTTTGAAAAATATGTTAAGTTTACATGTATGTTCTGTTCTTTGCTATGAATTTGCTGAGCATGATTTATAAATTTATTTTTAGACTCATATTTATTATATGTATTTTTTTTTTTAATTAAATTAATTAGATTTTAGATCTGCCCTTCATTATTTAGAGATTTATTAATATAAAACAAGAAGTATTTTGAATTAAAAATATTTATTTTTAAGGAAAACTATTATGAGTCTTGTCAAATTTTTTATGCATATAATGATTAATTTTTCCAATTCCTATTTTAATATTTTTAAAAACTAAGTGAATAGACAAAGGAAAATACATGTAAGCATATTCTTGTCAAATCAAACTGTTAGCTACGGAATTAATTTTTGTGGCAAGATCATTAATGAATTACAACTAATGAATATCATTCAAAATACTCAAACTGTAGTATTAGTTTAGTATTGCAATGAAATTAATGATCTTGCTTCATGTAAAATATCGTGATGAATCTGGCATGTAAAAATAAAATTTTTCAGAAGTTTATGAATATCATCATTTACAGATACTAAAGTATTTTAGAATCAGATTGTTAGTACTGGTTTACATATAAAATAAATTGGATATTTAAAATATTCAATAATTATTTTAAATACTATATAGTAAGTTTAAAACTAAATTATTGAAAAATTATAAAATGTGGATATGAAATAATGAAAGATTATATTAGTAAGTTATCTTTAAGTAGATTAAGTTGAATTAATAGAAAACATTGTTGATAAAACTTTTGGAATAGATAAATTATTTTAAATAATAACTATATTTTCTTTTAAAGATTTTAAAGTTTATTAATTAAGCATAATATAAAATTATTACAGGAAGAAAAAGAAAAATACGAAATAATCCTGCAAGAAGCATTCCGAAATGCTGAGAAAGAAACCAAAACATTTAATAGAGATTGGCTGGATTCACCTTGGAGTGGTAAGTAGAAAGAACAAGCACTTTAATAATTTTCATTCATTAATTTTATTTTCATCTGTAATTATTAAGTAACATGCTAGTTTTTACAGCTAACTAATTACAATAAGGAAATACCTGGTGTAGGGGTAGCAAACCTATGGTACATGTGACCAAAGTAGCATATTGAGAGAAATTGTCTGGCACATAATTTATCATGGTATTTCAGTTTATCACCTGTCTTTTTTCAATTGTTCTTTTGTTTACCACCTGATTATTTTTTTTCACTTATTTTCTTTACATTTATTCTAATTAAAACATATTTGTTTTGTTTCTTTAAATATTGTTGTTCAAATTCTAAAACTACAGCATACATAAACATTTTTAAAAATAATTATGCTCACTGTACAGCAAGTAGCCTGAAAAGGTTCACCATTCCTGATCTATTAGATTGATCAAATTAACAGCTTCTGGATATAGTCAAATCACAAATCACCTGAACAATTGGAGGATAATGCAGTGTACCATCATCTCCATAAAAATTAGAGAAGATAAAGGTCAGGACAGTAAATTTAAATTTATCAAAAATAAAAGGCTATACAGTGTCTCCTTTTGTCCTTTCTCACACTTTAGGAAATAACAGTCTTGTGGTGGAGTTGACCTTTATTTTGATTTTCAATCTAAGTAGAATTGACCAAATTAAAATTTACTGTCCTGACCATTTTATCAAATGTATATTATATTTTTTATTTGTGCTGTCACCAGAGGGAAGATTTATAACGTTCTGCATATTGAGGCAAACAAATAACCTCAAAATAAAGCTAAACTCTGCCATAAAGCTATTATTTTCTGAGGTGTGAGAAAGGACAAGAGAAGACACTTTTATTTTTGGTGAAGAAAGATCATGCTTGATTGTATTTAATATTTAATCAAAATAATTATAATTCTAAAAATTAAAATGAAGATTCAGTCTGTTGAAAAAAGGAATCATCATGTATTCACTTTCAATGTTTTGGATTACAAACTTTTGACAACTGACCTTTCATTGTAGGCTACTAATTATAATTCTCACACAGAATGGAAAAAAATTTTTATCTTGCCTTAACTAAATTTTGTGTTTGGTGTATATTATTCAAAAAGTTTTGAGATCTTGAAAAAAATGTTATACACTGTTATCATTGTTATCAATTATAATTGATTAAGTATTTTTCAAGCCATTTCATATCTTATCATAAGATAGAACACTTAAATGATCAACAGAGTTAAACAAAGAACATTGTAACCAGTTTGAATAAGTCCTAGAAAGAATATGCTTTTTTAAATTATTATTATTATTTTTTTAACTCTGAAGCATGCTGGGATGAATTAATTATATACCACCCTTTTATACAATTTTTCTGGAATTTGCATGATGGTATGTATCTGCAACCATCATTTTGTTCTCTAGGCTTACTTTTTTACTGTGAGACAGCACATGTGAGGTGCATCTGCATATGTTTGCTACTATATTATTAGATTTTAACATTTAAAATTTAATCTATACTAATATTATAAAGAGGTAATGTTTGTATGTATGTATGTATGTATGTAAGTTTCTTTGCAGCAGGTAATCTCCGAAACTACTCATCCGATTTCAAAAATTCTTTCAGCAATATTTAGAATGGAACCTCAGGGTGGACATAGGCTGTATATTATCCATTAAACATTCATATAAATTAAAATATATAATTTAGGTTAAGGCTTTTATGTCCAACAGATGGCGCTACAAGTATGACACCCTAAGTTTGCTTTTCTGTGAGGCATTATGCTTTTCTGTGAAAATGAACTAAAGCAGATAATCTTCTATCTATCTATATAAATAAAAATTTAATGTTCGTTTGTTCCTACCGATTCCTTTGATATTTTGACACAATGCTGCATTCGAATACTCGCGTGTTTTTATATAATATACATGTTGAAATCCCCCCGGGAGATGGACAGGATTAAGGCTTACCGTAAAGAACTCTGCTTCTATTTATACTATTTTAGATGCGGTTTTTTGCGTTTTAATAAGGTACGTCAACAGAATGTACACTAAGAAGAAATTTTTCGATATTCCTCCCGCGGAGGAGAGGGACAGGATTAAGGCTTACCGTGAAGAATTTGGCTTCTATTATACTATTTCAGATGCGGTTTTTTTGCGTTTTTGATTGTGTTTTAATAGGGTACGTCAAGAAAATGTACATTAAGGGATTTTTTGAAAAATTTCCTCAAGGGGGAAGTGTTATATATTTATAATAGATACATTTTGAGCCACAACAATGCGTGGCGGGGTCTGCTAGTAATATAATATAATAATACTCTATTTAACATTGTTTTAAATGTTAAATAGAGTATTATTAATTGTTAATAATTTAAATGTTTGATCAGATGATGAGGTCTGAAAATCTTGAAAAATGTTCTGTCAATTAGAATAAAGTGTGTTTTCACTCTTTGAGCAGTATAGTTTTCCCTCTCAAGATTTCTCCTGAAAAATGGGGTTAGTTGTTACAATGAACTTTAAATTCAATCTTAAACATTTTCTAAATATTCGTTAACATACACATCTCAACATTTAACAATGGTTTAACAATATATTTATATTGAATTTACTCCTTTTAATGTATTTTTAAAATCTAGATTGAGTATTATTAATGAAGTCACAATCTATATAAATCATATATATGTGGATGTATTTTATATAATAATTAAAATACTGTTATAAAATTTCATATATTTAGAGATTCTATATGATGTTTAACAGTTATCAGTTTTAAGTATATGGAATTATACAAGAAAAATAATCTAAATATGAGTTAATAGTTTTTTTTTACATCTTAAATGGCTAATTATAAAAAAGACTTACTCAGTTGTAAAGTACTAAGTTATTTTTACATCTTTTACAACGATTATTGACATGAACTGTGTGCTGGAAATAGCCGTTACCTAACGGTTACTTTTCGCGGATTTGCGTTAATGTGCCAGGCCTGGACTTTAAGTGTGCAACGAATTAAATAATTGCAAAGTTAGTCAAAAACAATCCAATATTTAATAATTCTAATAATGACTATGTACAAAATTTAGTAACAATCAAACAACAATTTATTCAAAGAAAATCAACAATAAGAATCAACCCGACAAAACTCAAAATCTATTGGCTAACTTAAATCTATTCCCTTTTGGAATTTGACAAAAAATTCAAAGACTTAACTTATGTATAACAATTCTTATGAACTAAGGTCCTAACCGTCACCTCAATATATTAGGAACCTTTTTCCTCAACTCTCAAGACTTTCTATAATCTTCGATCCACAAATCAAATAACTTCTAATCACCTTGGAACACCTTTATCGCTATCAGACACCTCTTGTTGTTCACTGCTACGAAGCTCACCATGCTCGTTGCTAACAGAAGCTCACCTCAGTCATCTTCGCTTGAGATATGGGGTTTTGTACTGTGAGGTGACGTCACAATTCTTACTGAGCCCACTCTCCTCATTTACATACTTATCTCTAACATTGAACTTTTCCTTTTTTTGCCTGGCAGTCTATTTTCCGACAATACTGGCTAACCTTTTACATTATTCTTTTTGACAATTTTCGGGATGTTTTATTCGTTAAGGTTTAGCAAGTTCCTAAGTTGTGCTTGTGGGGTCTCCCCGAGGTTCTTGGTGCGGACTTACTTTTTTTCACTCAGGAGTGCAAGTATGCACGAGTTTTTTTCTATGGCCCTTTTTCTCATTGGCGAGTTGGTTTTTCTTTCTTCTATTTTTAATTTTCTAAGGTGAGTGGTGAGGAAATCTTCATCCTAAGAAAACATAAGCCCCAAACAAAAATAGAATAAAAAGCAAAATATAAAGTAACTAAAAATAACGCTCAGACTTGGTTTCTTACACGGTAAACAGTTTAAGTATAGAAGTATAGATTAATTCTTTATTTAAATTACAAAACTTTTCTAACATTTTATACATTGTTCATTTTAAAAAAATTTTGAACAGTGTATAAAATATAGAATTATAGAACAGTGACATCTGTCATTTTTTCATAATTCTATATTAAATAAAAATAAAATTGTAAATAATGAAAACTTGAGTATAAGGCAATTTCTTTCAGGCTTCTTTGGTCAGAGAAGTCCCATGAAATGTGATCCAACAGGTGTGTCTGAAGATATTATCAAACATATTGGAATGCAATTTAGTTCACCTCCACCTGGAAATTTCAAGATTCATCCAGGCATTAAACGAATATTGAAATCTAGGATGGAAATGGTGGAAAATCGTTCTGTGGATTGGGCATTGGCTGAAGCTATGGCATTTGGTTCTCTTCTAAAAGAAGGAATTCATGTGCGTCTCAGTGGACAAGATGTTGAACGTGGCACTTTCAGGTAATTTAAATGATTTTAAGTAACATTTTTGATATTTTAAATTCAGAATAATAGGAAACATGTTTAAAGAATTGTATTATAGCATGAACAGCATATAAAACAAAAATTGCAGTAAATCAAAATAAGTGCATACAATGTAAGTAGTTTTAAATTACTTTAAGATACTTCAAGCATAAGATATAGAGAGAGGAACAAAATCATTAATTTAATTGAGCTAAAAAGTCCTGATATTAAATTTGGAAAACATTAATATTAAGGAAAATGAAAATAATTAATCATTAATTTCATAATTATTGATTAATATTTGCCAATAATGCTAGTATTGTATTGATTGGCAGTTATATTCCTAGCAATGCTGAATTGATAACATTATATTTAAAATATATTGTTCATTTTTAAGTTTGAAGATTATTTTGGATTTACCTAATCTTTGTTCTGTTTCTTTCACCAAACTGAATGTGCTGCCATTGAACAACTTTTTCTAATATTTGTGTCATATTGCATTTAAATGTGTGTTTATAAATTTTTACATTAAAAATTTATGGAATATTATTTTAATTCAAAATCTAAAGTATAAACATTATTGTGACATCGTCACAATGCTGGACTGCAATTTTTAATCATATTTTTAATTTATTTAATTTAAAATATATGCTCTTCACCACAAATAGTGTCTTGCCCCTTCCATCATACTTTTTCCATTAGCAAATAGAGTCCTGCCATTCATCTAACTCCTTTCAGAGAAAATTTTTTAATTGAAAGAACATGACTTCCCATTTGCATCGGAAGTTCATATATTGTTAATGGGGGCCTCCTGCCTCTAACACTGTATCTGTGTCAAGTGTTAGATAAATTATAGTGTGAGACAGTAAGAAATTATAGGTGTACAATTTTTTCAAATTGTAGTCCAATCAAGGATAAAATACATAAGGTACCTAGAATGAGAAAGCAATAAGATAGACAACATTGCTCAATAATAACCATTGATTTATGTTAGATTATAGAACTAATCTGATCATGAAAAATGGATTTTTTTTAAAATTGTTTATGGGAGTATTTTTTTATTTTTTGTAGATAGTATTTATTACATATTCTTTATTAATTTTAATTCAATGTTTCATTTTATTAAAGCACAATTTTGTTTAAAATATATCTTTGTGCTCGATTATTGAAAATTCCTTCTGCAGAGATGGAATAAAATGGCAATTTTTTGCCATCTTATTCCAATGTAAACTTTATTTCCATCTTTAGATGATCATTCTTGACCAATCCAGAATACTGATTGCCATTAACTAACTTCTAGGATAATTAATCATCCAAAAATCTTTAATTACGCTTGAATTATCCATCTACCTTTCTCATGATTCATATCGTAAAATCAGATTACGATATGAATTACTAAAATCTTAACATACAGAGGGGCATGAAAGACATAGAAATGTTGAATTTAAAAGCAGAAATAAAAGAAAACTATAAAATAATTTGCATATATATATGTTCAACGATTATATAGGGAATCTAAAAAATGTAAGGTATATATATTTCGATAATTCCAAATTCAGACAGTCATATTATTCGAGAAGGAAGCTTGCAATACTTAACAGTTAAGCAACAAAATGCCATGCATGTATTGTATAATACAGTATATTACATTAATAAATATCAATAAATAATCGGAAAATTTGAATGATACCCATATTTCAAAATTTATATAAATTATGATTTTACGCAAATTTATTATAATCTGTTATGAATTGACTTCTAAATTATAACAANTTAAATATAAATATTTAAAAAAGCATATTTTTCAATATTTTTTCAGTCATAGGCATCATGTTTTACATCACCAAACAATTGATAAAACAACTTACAGGCCTTTATGCCATTTATGGCCTGATCAAGCACCATATACTGTTTGCAATAGCTCATTGTCTGAATTTGGTGTACTTGGTAAGTAGTATTATTTTATCAAAGTATTTAATGATAATTTTAACGGATATTTGATTAATAATTAATTAATTATAGGATTTGAACTTGGTTTCTCAATGACTAATCCTAATGCACTTGTGATATGGGAAGCTCAATTTGGTGATTTCATGAATACAGCACAATGTATCATTGATCAATTTATTACTAGTGGTCAAGCTAAATGGGTTCGACAGAGTGGTTTAGTGATGCTTCTTCCTCATGGAATGGAAGGAATGGTATATATTTTTATTGTTTAATATTGAATTTTTCTAAAATTAACCATTTAGTGTTCTAGATTATCCTCTTCTGTGTGCTCTTCTGTTGGTTATAAATGTATAAATTTAAAATGAATTTATAAATAAAAAGAGTGGAAGAAAATTTTTTTTTTAAATATAAAAAAATTTTCCTATTTGAGTTAAAGCAATCAATCTTTACCAAATTTGAGGACAAAAACATTATGACTTTTAAAAATGCACAATAAGTAAATTTATTTAAATATTTAAAACATTCTCCAAATGCGTTTCACCTTTAGTCAAGGCCTCATCAGTGGGATTTTTAAATAATTTTTTAAAAATAAACTTAGTTTTACTTACTGGTTTTACTTAATTTTGTTAGACTTTTCTTTTAATAATTACAAATTGGTAATTTAAAAAAAATTTATCTTATTTAGATTTTTGAAATTTTAACTGTTACCATTTTTTATATCTTTATGAATAGTTTTCAAAGCAAGTTTGTTATAAAAAGATTTTGAAAACAGTTTTACAATATGTTTATTTGCTTTCAAGAAAACATATTACAGAACTGAAACAAACTGGAGATTTTGTTCTTGCTTTTCATGTCTTGTTTAGAAAATATATTAAATTTAACTAACATTCAAGCTTGTTGATGCTATTAAAAAAAAAAGCAGATTTTATTGAATTATTATTATATTTGTGCTTTTTAGTACATGCATGTGTGTTTTATAGTTATCATAAAATTCTTTATGATTATATACTAATTTAAATAATAATTAAAATATTTCTTTAAGCATTTCTCTTTTTATCAGCTTTTGATAATGTTTACTTAATTTAAATCATATATATAAATGCTGAAAAAATTTAAATTAAGTATAATTTTGTACGTTACAGATTCAAAGTTGTGATAAAGATAATTTTTTAATTAGATTGTTTTTTTTCTTTTATAAGATATTAATTTCTTTGGAATTTTAAAATTAGAATTGTAACAAGAGAGAGATGCATTCAATCTAATGATATGTAGTGCAATTTATTGTTGTTGTTTAAATTTATATTCTTGAATCTAGAGAAACACTTGGTAACAATATAAATATTTATTATGATAAGTTTAAATTAAAATCTAATGAACAACAAAGAATTACTGTTTTTTTATAATGAATTTAAGATATAAATTTTGAATTATAGCTATCATTTCAGCAATTTATTAGCTTGAACATTAATCCTATTTTTTTTTTACTTGTTCTTGGTAACTCTGTATTCTGTTGACAGAATCTTTAGAAAAGTTCTATAATTCTTTGATAAGTGAACACTAATCTTATTTTTATGGAAGATTTGTGTGCTCTATATCTGTTGTCTAAAATTTGATTTCTGTATTAATCAACTTAAAGCTTGAATTGATATAGATTTTGAAGTTTCTTAATACTTTCATAGCATTAAAAAGTAAAACTAGTTAAAAATGTCCTCTAAGAGTATAAAAACAATATACAAAGACAAAGGAAAATTGGCTTTTGAATGGAAATCAGTGCTTTACTTGATAATATTCTGTGCTGAAAATATAAATTATGAAAAGACATATTATAGCATCATTATGATATTAATTTATATGAAGTTCAGAATAAGATTTTACCAGACATCTTTTTTAGATAGAATATTTTGTTAGATGTATTGTTTATTTTATATAAGAAAGGTATGAAATATATTAAAATTAGAAATCAAATGATAATTAATAATATGATTTCATGTAACATAAAAACATTATTTATGTAGGTTACTTATTTTTAGAATAAATACTTAAAATCAATACAATATAAAGTAAAATATATGGTCAATAATAATTAATTTAAAATAAAAAAATTTTAATTTTATTTATTTTAGGGTCCAGAACATTCTAGTGCTCGTCCTGAAAGATTCTTGCAGTTAGGCAATGAAGAGTCTGATAATTTTCCAGTAACTTATATATGTTTTAATAAATTTATTTACTAATAAGAATAAAATATTAATTGTATTTCTTTTATTAGGAAATTGATGATGACTTCTCAATGAAACAGCTGAATGATATAAATACATTTGTTGTCAACTGCACTACACCTGCAAATTATTTTCATTCTCTTCGACGGCAAATAGCTCTACCATTCAGAAAGCCTGTAAGCTTATTATTAAAATTCTAGTTCACTAAGTTCAGATTTTCTACTTAATATTGTTTGTTGAAATCATATTTATTGATCAATTTAAAATGTCAGCCTAAAATTTCTCAAGCAAGTCTAATATTTATTATTGAATTTTTAATAATACAGCAAACCCCTGCTAACTCAGACTAATGGGGTGAAGGTTGTCCAAGTTTATGAAAGTTTAAGTTTGCTGGATGTGTTCTCTGACAACATAGAAAATGAGAAGGTAGATGTTCAATGCAATGATTTATTATGAGCATCTCTACACAGAAGTTTTACTGAGCTGAGACTACATTGCTGAATTTATTATTACAGGAAATGAGTCATAAAATTTCATAGTGCAGTACACATCAATGTATAGTCTTTAGTAATTTACTGACTACAGTAATATAATGCATGGTGTTGCAAAGACTTCTGGATATTGAAAACATTTGTTAATTATAATTTTTCTATTGTTGAGAAATTTTAAATTACTATTTCAAAAAAATTTGTCTGAGTTAAATGAAGTCCGATTTAGCAGGCATTTACTGTAAAAAAAAAACATTATGGGTTATATATTAAATTTTAAATAAATTAAACTTCAAAACAGTTGATTAAACTGTTGATGTAATCTGCAAATTAGTTATAAAACAGCAAATTTCAACTTTGTGTTTTTTTTTATGATGACTTGTTAATTAACATTTATGTGCATCTCATAAATTCAAAGAACAAAACTGTATTGCTATTGAATTTAATACAGACAAAAGGATTTGCAATTTAAAAAAGACCCTAAAAATATTTCTATAAAGACTGGTAATCTGCCTGTCTTTATACATAAAAACTTTTAAAAGTTGAGTTTAACAATAGAAAAAAATTGATATGACCTTATATTTAAAAGATATCCCATATTTATATGAATTTTCTATATAACTAGTAAATAATTGCAAAAAATAAATTGTTAATTTTTATAATTACATCTTAAAAATCAATATTTTATATAACTTACTAATAAAATATATCTGTCCATGACAAATTGTATTCTTATGATATGATGGAAATTTTTACTTTTTTATTAGATGTACTTAGTTATTGATTAACATAATTTAGATAATATCATTAATAACAAAGTGTTTGTTTAATTCTATTTATATTTGGAAACAGCTTTAGAGTATGGCCTTTATAGACTAATAAAATAAGTTTTAGAAATTTCTCAAAAAACATACAACAAACAAAACAAACTTTATATGAGATATGTATGATAAGAATATATATGGTAAATATTAGGAAATAAATACCACATATTCAAGCAGAGATGTAAATAAATAACTGTTGACACGTGCCATTAATTATTTATGTGCACAGATTGTTTGCATAATATTCTGTCACAGACTAATAGTCATAATCTGTTATTCTCAAATACTGTAATTCCACATTAATAAATACTTGGAACAAGCAAATTTAGTCCATTGTTTCTGAACTTCATTTATTTTGGCATCTGTAAAATCAAGGGTCAACTGTATATGTTAAGAAGACAACTTAATAATTACAGTGTGTGATCGGTTAATGAACATAATCTGTTCCAAGACCATGTTCACTATCCAAATTGTTCATTAATTGTTGTTAACTGATCAGATTTACCATATATTTTTATGGTAATTTGATTAATTCGTTCTGGAGACCCCCCAAAATAAAAAATTAATAAATTATATACTTTCTTACTATGTTTATTTACATGTATTAACAAACTAAAAGCAATCTCTCCATTTTTCATGGATGGCACATCTTTGTTTCTCAGATGTGATTTTATTTGTTTTTACTCCTTTATCTGCTTCAGTCTTATTGATTATATCTTTCTTAGCTAAGATTGTATCTACTGTAGACCGGTTGAAATCATCTGCCTACAATATCTGACATCTTTCACCCACTCTCTACCTTGGCTATTAATCTCTTGCTTAGTTTCTATAGTGAACGCAGTTCTCAGACGGTTGAACGGTCAAGGTAGCAGCCTACTGCTTTGGGGGATATGGGATCAACTCTGGATGGATCAAAAAATTTCCAGGAATTTTTTCAGAGGGGTGGTCCAACCAGATATCTGCCCTTGTCCCTCATCACCCAGCCACCCCATTGTGTGCGTGGTCAAACCCATAATGGGCTTGCTAAAAGAGGCCCTCTTAGTGCCCACAGGGCGGAAAGAGTTAAAAAAATAAAAAGAACACAGTTCTTGAAACCCCACTCATTTTAGGCCCCATAATATTATCAGTTTTTTTAATAAAACGTTCAGAAAAGCATTTACAAAAATTCAGAGAACAGAAATTAACTAGTGCAAAAAAAGGTTATGTATACAACTGTGAAAGTCTCATTCCATAAACCATGTATAGATGCCATTAAAATATAGTTTTACAAATCTTTCTTCTTGTGTTTGTTCTGTTAGGTGTTCATTATTCAAACATAAAAATCTTTCACAAAAGTGTTCATCATCCAATTTGCTTGCAGTCCGAACTGTTCATTAACCAATCACCCACTGTATTTATAAATTTATAATTTGTGTTAAATATATTTTATATGTGACAACATTTAATAAATTATTTTTGGCACAGCAGTTTACAAAATAGTTTTATTGATGATAATTCATGCTGCTAAATAGTTGAATGATAATATTACAGTAAAACCTCAATTTAATGGACAAAATTTCTGGTCTATATGACATATGTAAAAATTAACATCCTGTTAATTTTTAAATACTTTATATATGTAATTTTAACAGGTTATTTTTTCAAACCCATGAGTCACCACTCTTAATTAAATACAATTAAAGTGTTAATTAGTAAGGAATAACTGAGCCTGCTGGCCTTGTTGTTATGATTACAGATTATATAATTAAAGTGTATTTTTTTTTTATTTTTATTTATTTTAATTTAGATAATATNGGATTTAACAGACAAAATTTCTGGTCCTTATGTAATATAGAAAAATTAACATCCTGTTAATTTTAAAATGCTTTTTATATGTAATTAAATAAATATTTTATTTTTGAAATCCATGAGTCACCACTCTTAATTAAATACAATTAAAATGTATTTTCCAAAAAACTATTTGTTTATTTATTTTAATTTAGATAATATACTTGTTTATTACAGTCTCAGAACTATGCTTATGTATCTGAGGTATACTGAAGCATACCTCAGATACATAAGCAATAATATATATAGAAAAATTTTCTGTGAAATTAAACTTCTCATACATATATAATTTTAATTACACCAGTGTATCAACATAAATGGAAACAGATCAACTAACTAATTTGTCAATTTTTTAACACATGCATTTGGAAAACCTACTTTATTATATAATGGACTTTCAACTTTAACACTTTAACAGAACCTCATCTCCTGAATCGGTCTGTTAAATCGAGGTTTTACAGTAATTTAATAATGAAGTATAAACATTAATAGCAATGATATTTATGTTTCTAGTTGATCCTATTTACACCAAAATCACTCTTGCGTCATCCTGAAGCAAAATCATCATTTGATGATATGAATGAAGGTAATTGGCTTATTTAAATAATACACAGCATTTTCCAATTGGATAAATTCCACTAATAGCTTTCAGTCTTTTTTAATTTTATTGATATAATTGTAAAAATATTAATGGACTTTTTTAAAAATGGATCATTTTTAATAAGTTAAATTTTGATTAAAAATTTACATTTTAGGCACTGTTTTTAAGAGACTCATTCCTGATACAAATGCAGAAGCAAACCGAAGCAATGTAAAAAGATTACTGTTTTGTACAGGAAAAGTATTTTATGATATACTTAAGCACCGACAGACTCTGGGTTTGGATTCTGAAGTTGCAATTGCTCGAATTGAACAAGTAAAGAAAATATTTTTTTCTCTTAAAATTTCTTAATTATGTTATAATTATATTTTATGCATTTTTTTTTTTTTTAAAGCTTTGCCCTTTTCCATTTGATTTGGTTAAAGAAGAAATTGAAAAATATTCAAATGCTAGTATTGCATGGTGTCAAGAAGAACATAAGAACCAGGGTTATTGGGCTCATATACAGCCTAGAATGAAAACAGTTTTAGATAGAATTAATGATACAAGAAATGTGATGTAAGTAAAATTATTGAAAACTATTATTATTCTGTAGATTGCTAGTTAATACTGTTAGTGTTTTTGTTAAATAGGGGATGGATATCATTTGCTGTCTGGCAATTCCTAATTAAGTATAAAATAAATAAATAAATAGAGGGAAAGTATTGCAGTTGGTTAAAAAATCACCCCCAAGATTTTTACATTTTTGGACTTGGGATCTTAGAACATTGAGAAATGCAAAAAAAAAGTTGGGTTCTTTTTATATGTGAAGGACATGATTTTGTTCACCAAATTTGTAGCTTAACCTGTCCTACATTGTTCTCGAAAATATTTGTGTTGACCTCATTGACCTGCATGGGCGATCCCGAATATTTTCGTGCTTACATCGGAACATTTTTGATACTAGATGTCGCTATGCGTCACAATTTTTATATTAAAATGAACTTTTAAAATATAATTTTTTTTNGCGTCACAATTTTTATATTAAAATGAACTTTTAAAATATATTGAATAATATAGAAACAAAAAAAATTATATTTATTTTGTTTATGAAACATAAAAAAAATAATTTTTTACGATACAGTAAACACGATTATTATTTAAAAAAAAAATTTTAGGCTTAACATCGATGAAAATTCAACATGGTGTCACAGGCAACAAATAAAAATTTCAACATCAAATAGGTTAATAATTCCTGTACCTTTTTTCAAAATTTTCTGAAATTTTGCAGGAAGCATTTTGCATATTTTTCAGGACTATGGAGTCGTGTAAAAATCTACTCCGATGAGGGGCGGACTTGTTACCAAAATAGATTTGGGAATTCTGGTGTCATCATATGATTTAAGAATAAAAGATTCAATAAATAGTGTTCTAATAAAGATAGAACATAGAAATGTTTTTATTCCAAATCTAAAAGACTCCTCTAAGTAATGATACAGTCAATATATAAATATGTATTTGATAATTTTTACTTTCACAGCTGTTATATATCAATATACCAAAGGAAAAGTGTAGCGATCGGTCAAAAAATGACCCCTCCCAAATTTTTACATCTTTAGACCTTGAAATGTTGAGATATGCAAAAGATTTCGTTTTTTTTTCTATAGGAATGAATGTTAGACTGTGTGGGGGGGATGATTTTGTTCACCCTGTTTGAAGCCTAATAATTTCTGTGGTTTTTAAATTCGAGTCGGATGGTTTAACACAGGAGTTATTAAGTTCCAAAGTGGTTGAACTAAATCGTGCCCCTATACATATTCTGACATCTCAGATGAGAACATCTGAATGGGTTCTATTGTACTATTATAAAATGAAACAAGTAAAACGGCAAGGCCGTATTTGGGACAAGACTATGTCTCAGAGACTCGCTGCTAAGCGGGATCACTTTGACATTCTAGGCATGTCTCATTCTCATTCTCCAATCTTCTTTGGTATCGCTGGTTTTGAGCGTGATTGTACAAACTTTGCCAGCCACGACCACGATGCATTTTTGGTGAAATTAACCTATCCAATTTTGAAATTTCTTTCTATTGTGTGTTGCCCCAGGTTGAATTTTTGTCAATGCCTAATGAAAAATTCCCATTTTTGAAAAAATAATCCTGGTTATTGTATCGTCCAAAATTATTATTTTATTTTTCAAACTATATATATATATAGTTTATTTTAACCAGGATTATTTTTTCAAAAATGGGAATTTTTCGTTATATATATACATATTAATAAATGTAAACAGAAAACAAATTATATTTCGGAAATTAGTTTTAATATAAAAGTATAATGACTAGCGCCATCTACTTTCAAAAACATTCCGATGATGAAACAAGATATCTCGGGTCAACCTGTCAAGGTCAATATATTGTGACCAGAGATATGTCAGGAATAACACGGACAGGTAAATGAGTTTTTTTCTTTCCTTCAAAGATTCAATTTCTCATTTCAAACTTCCCAATGTATGCTTTTGTCAAAATTTGATTTCACACTGTTCACATTTCCAACTTTCCAACGAGCAATGCATGCGCAAATCTCACACTACTGCCTGTTTGTAGAGAGTGTCGCCATTTTGAATTTTATTTTGACTTGGTTCTCGGTCTCCCGAGTACCTACAAGTCTGGGTTTGTGTGTGCCTAATACTCTGTGCCAACTTGCATCTCCTAACATGTACTCCTTCATACCTCTAAGCTCTACACAGCAGGCAGTACAATTTTATAAGCAAGTCATACTCTTGTCAAAAAAGTGTAATTTTGAGGGTAGAGACAAGTTTTTGTGAATGCTAATAATGTGTAAAATAGTCATTAAGACTGACCACACTGGTGTTATGACACATGACTCCTTCTGTCTTTATCCTGTCTACCTTTTAATTAAGAACCAAAATTTAATAGCATTAATTCTTTATACACTACCAAATTTCGTTTCTTAAACTTTACCCATTCTGAGATATTGTTTAATATCTCAGAATAGAGAATAAAGAAATTAAACAAATCAGCCAAAACACACACACACACACAAATTCCCCCCCCTTTAATTGACATGTTATTATGGAAAAGGCTTACCAACAGATGTTTTCTAGTGATGACACTTCAAATATGTCATCGCTGGGCCAGTTAGGGCAGTGGGAATGTGATATGTTGTCAGATTCACACCGAGAAATTGTTTAAGTTTAGACATTTTCACACATCAACAATTAATTGTTATGATTAATCTCTAAACCTATCTCAAGTCAAGAGAAAGGGGATGGGTTTGTTGCACGTCTCATTTTCTAATTCCATGGAAAATGGAGGAAATGAAGAAAAGTTTCTTATAGCTCGTCTTTTCACTAAAAAATATAGAAAACCAATTTCCCAAATCTCATAACTATCTTTTGTAATTTTGTTTCATTATAATTAACCTGGAGAAATGAATTTATTCGAAATTTAAAAATAAGACATCACAGTTTATTCAAAAAAATAATATCTATGTTACTTTAATTTAAAGTATGTATGTACAATATAAATTACATTAAACATTCATTCTTCTATGGTATATTACATAAAACATTTGATCATCAAGGATGTAGGCGAATGAAAAAAACAAACTCACTGTTCTTTATTTATTTGTTTGATGTTATATTGTTCTATTTATAATTGTCAAATCATATTTTCTTCTGATTTTTAATAAATTAACATATTTTTTAATAATCAGTAATAAATGTCTTTACATGTCAAAGTAGCTAGTAAGTAAGGAAGGAATTTAAATATGATAAGTATTATATTGTGCTATTAAGTGGGTAAAAGTTTTCATTAAAAACCATCTTTCAAAATATTTTTACACAAGTAACATTTTAGAATTGTCTTTTCATTTTTTTTCTTTTGGTTTATTTCACAGAACTTTTGCTTCATTACAAGTAAATTATATTTATTTATTTTGACAGATACGTTGGTCGTGCAGTCTCTGCTTCGACAGCAACGGGAAGCAAGCAAGTACACAAAAAAGAACAAGAAAAACTACTTGCTGATGCTTTTTCATTTTGAAGTATGTCACGTGAAATTTTCTCAAAGAAAACGATCATGCCTTATCTGTTTAAGCTCCTATGTACATTAGTATTGAACTTCCGGAGCCGTTAAGTAATGTGTAGATATTAGAAAGCTTACGACCGAATCGAATAATGTATTTTGTAAGGTAAAAATTGGTTTCGTGCATACGCTCGTAAATTCTCTAAAAGATTTTTCGGATAGAATTTGTTTTTATGACAAATTACAAAAAAAATATTTTTAACTCAATTACTGATTAAAGAAATTAGTATTATAGCAGAATTTGCTATATTTTGTAAACAAAGAAATTTAATAGTAGCATCAGAAAAAAAAATACTGAAAATCAAGTGATAATTTTTGTTAATTGTAAAAACTTTATGCTACAAAAATTATATATATATATACTGTATATGCTTAAAAAGTCTATCATCAAAATTATTACATTTTATTTATAGTAACTTATTGAGATTTTATTATATAAAATTAAAAAGCATAGAAAAGTATTATGAGCATTATTGCCATAGAATGGTGAATAAAAGTGTGCACTCCAGAAACTTTAATAAAATAAGTTGATGTTTATTTAAATGAGTGAAACAAAAATTATAATTCAATCAAGCATCATTTTATAAATAATTTATGCCGAGCTATCACTTTTGAATGACCAGTAATCATGGATAAGTTGGATGCAAGAAAATTGAGAAAGAAATCAATACTATTTTGATTAAATTAATATTTAGCATTCAAAATGTCTATTACTTTAATTAAAAAGTAATAGACATTCTAGCACTACAGTATAATTTATAAATGAGAAATAGCAAGTTTGTTTGAAGATACAAAAATAGGCAAGTTCTAATATTTCTTTTTGCTAAAACAATTGTTTTTGTTAACAATGTACCCAGAACTGATAACTGGTGCACAGAAGTGAAGAAAATAATGCAAAATGTTTTCAAACTCCACCAGAGTTCTTCTTCAGGTGTTATAATGAACATCCAATGGTTATAATGTCTGAAGAACAACTCTGGTAGAGTTTGAAAATGTTTGCATTAGTTTTTTTGCTTCTGTGCACACTGATTATTACTTCTATGTATATTGTTAACTATATTCTGGTGTGGTGTAGTGTTGTTTAATGTTTTTGTAGTATTTGGTGACACACAAATAACTTTGGTCTTTTAAATGATACAATTATCCAAAATCTAATAGTAGCATTTTAAGTATGACATCTAAAGAAAATTGCTAATTCTTAATTAATCCAGAATACTGTATTGGCCCAAATATAAATCGACTCTCAATTTTGGAATCCTCATTTTTTGAAAAAATTAGGTCCCAAATACAACTTGACCTTTTATCATTAATTTATTTGTATACAAAAAATTTCAAATCTTTTTAATGCAAGTTGCTAAAACCATTTAAACAATACTTGTCACTCATCTTCATCAGAACTTTCATTGCCATCATTGTCTTCGGCTTTCCTCAACAGTTCATCATCTGTTCTTATGTTTCTTCAAAAGCCTTTTATAATTGTCTTCACTAACAATCTTCCCTAATTTAACTGTTATTCTAAAAGAAATTTTTATTACTTTTTATTTGATTGTAATTATAAATGAGGCTAAATTTCATAATTTCTTTCTTTCCAAAATTACTTTAGTTACAAATTCAAAAAATATTTTATTCCTATTTATAAATATCTGGGGATCAATCAGCATAAATAAATATTAGACATTTACTAAAAAAGCAATCAATTTGATTGGAAATTGTACTTAAAGGGTTTGTTTTATAGAAAGAAATATATGCACCCGACACCTACATTATAAATGAAAAATTCTTCTTTTGTCAATATCAATAAAAATGTCTTGAAATGAATGACCTGTGTGTCGTATAGTAGGTTGCCAGTATTTGTCATTGCAATACATTTTTTGTATTTAATTACTTAAAAATAAAGAAAATGTATTGTTTCACGATTGTCAATACTACTTTGCATTTTAATGCTGTCTGTTGTATTAAAATTTGATAGACATTTAATGTTTAGTTCTACTGAAAAGAGGGAATAATGCCTGTCCTTAGAGTTTTGAGTTGCATTGTATGAATGTTAATATTGAGCATAACTGAAATAACTAGACTAGCTACACCATTGAAATTGAGAAATAAAATTGGAATAAAAGTACATTCACATAAACAGAGCAAATTCAAATAAATACAGCTACTAAGATTATTACAATTTCAATATTTACAATTGTTTTTTGAGCTACAGCTTAATTCCAAAATTGTTTGTTTTATAACATCAAACATGATTTGTATATTTAATTTAAATAATTTTAAAAACTAAATGAAAATTAAATATAATTTGGGTGCATTGACTATAATAGATAAATTAATGCAAACAATAAAGAATGATCAATGCTCTGCAAAATTAAAATAGTAGAATGAATCTGCATTTTTAAAATATAACAAAAGTCAAATTTCGGTATTTGCCTTTTTTATATTTGCAGAAATATATTTATTAAGATGATAAAACAAAACAGTAATAAAATAATGTAATATTCCAGTAAAGTGAAATGAACCAGAGTAGACTCAAGTATAAATTCAAATAAATCACCTTAATTAATTATTTTGTATGAAATATGCAAATAAGACTGTTTTCCTGGTTTCACTTGGTGGCACATCAAACCAGGAAAGTAAGCTTCTTTACATATTTCAAGTGTATTCTGGAAAGTGTACTTGCAGTTTTATGACTATCCAAGTGAAACCAGTTGTCTTAATATTGATACATTCAATTATAAAAAGAAATATCTTTTTACATTTTTGGCAACCTTTCCCCAATTTTTGACAATAGCTTGATTATTAAAGACTCCTCAGATAAAAATAAAATTTCTGTAGAAATTATCAGAACTGATTTGTTTTTATCGTATTTACCAGATTCAGTTGGCTTAGGTTTTGAGCAATCGATTATTTACAATCGTGCCAATATACTAATTGCTATGCATAGTTCACAGTAGCAGTGCGCACAGGTCACAACTTGGCTGATGATTAGCTTTGCTAAACAATGACGCACCAAATTTTTGCATTAGTTTAACTCTGTATAATGTGTACCATAGATAGTTATCAAAATCAGAGAGAACTTTAATCAAACTTCAATATAGGCCAAGAGTGATTTTTTCCTCCTCCCTTTAAAACCGGGGAAAAAAAATAATATTTGGGCCAATACAGTATATGGTTAAATGAAAAGCAAAGAAGACTTCTATTAATAGAGGAGAAGGTGGTATTATGGAACCCCAATTACATTTTAGTGAATTGCAAACAAGGTATCATAACTACACCCACATTTTTTGTGCGAAAAGTACTGATAACTAGTAATCTAAATGTTCCTAATTGGATATTTCGCTAGTGTAATTATAAGTATGGTTTTTGAAGGCTTTTGTACAAAAAGTCCGAAAGTAGGCTTAGAGAAAATCGGGTGGTAATATGGAACCTTACTGTATATTTTCAAAAAAATGCTTTAATGTAGCCAAAAACAAATAGGAAAG